CCAACCCCCTCCCGTCTTCAGCTTTGCAGCTCCTCCGCTCCTCCACCACGCCGAGCCGGCTGCGCTCTCTTCCAAGGCAGTGCACGTCCCCGCCTGCCTTCCCGAGCCCTGGAGGGCTCTTCGCCTGCCACGCTCCAGCAGCCGAGCTCTCCGGGTGCCCAGCGCATCCTCTCCCTGCCTCCCTCCCCGCCCGTGCAAGGGATGCGGTCGCGCATCTCGGGGCTGCGATGCTGATGGATGTGAGCAGCAGAGCTTGCTCAGCGCTCCTGCACTCAGGTGCAAGGGTTCCTAGTGCACCTCCATGCCAGTTCTGTCTTCCTCTTCCTCCTCCTCCTCCTCCTCCCGGCCAGTACATAATTATACGAAAGGAAATTAAATGCTGAGAGGAGCTGTTATGAAAGGGAGCATTAAAGATTTCCCTTAAAGCAGGCAGAAACCAAAGGAAGATGGATATTGTTAGGAAAGCAGTGTGTTTAAAAATCAAATCAAGTCTCTCCTGGCTCATGATGTCTACGAGAGTGTGGCTGGCACAGGAAGAGGCCAGTTCTGCCTTTAAACAGGAGCAGCATCAGCTGCATCCCTGAGGGATGCATGCTGGCAAAATGGCCCACAGCAGGGCTTATAAATCCAGGTACAGCCCCTGCTAATGTGTCCAGATTCCAGCTACTTCCATATGCTTCACAGAGGCTCTTATGGATTCATTTAGTGCCAGAGCAAGGTCGATTTACCTTTTCCTATGGCATACATCCCTCCTCCAAGACCCAATCCTCCCTGCTCTTAAGGTTGCAATACCAAGCCCAGTGCAGGAAGCCAAGCCAGGCTCCAGTTTTCCCCAAATGGGTCAGCTCATGTCTTCTTCTGTTTCAGGAGCTTTAAAAAGGGAGTTATTGGAGTGGCTATCTGGAGGCTTTGCTTTTTACTCCTAGTTCACATGTTAAGAGAGCTGTTGAAGTAAGAAGAGTGAATATACTGGAGGTCTTTACTCAAACCCAGAGCATCTCCTCCAGAGCATGGTGGCAGAGAGGACTGATCTTGTGAGGACTAGTAGCCAGGGATACCATCAGGCTAATGCTTAATTTCCTAGTTATCTTACCTATTGGGTGGATGAAGGAAAGAAAAGTATCATTATGCCTTGCAAGAACTATTTTATCCTGAAAACAACCTGTTTGAAGGGGTTGGGTGGATCCTGTTTGTTGCTCCTTCAGCACTGAAAGAACAGAGCAGTTTGACCCAAGAGTTAGCATCTCCACCAGCAGCAGAAGTGCTGGAGCAGGAATTTGAGGTCAAGACACAGCCTCAGTAAAGCCTAGGAGAGCACCCTTGGGATTTCATGAAGGTCAGGATTCATTCCTGTATCATATCCCTAGCACAAGGCAGACCAGATCCCAGCTTGGCTGCCGTTGCCTCAGGAAGAACAGAAAATAGCACAGAGAGAATAGAGGTAAGAACTCAGTGTACTCCATCAGGTGAGCGGGTCTGACCTGGAAGGGTCAGAGCCTGAGCTGGAATACTTTCTGCTGGGGCAAATGGGGTAAATGGGTCCACATCTGCTCCTGAATATCCATATGGAAGGAGCTGGTGTTGGTGGGCAGGTCCTTTTTGAGTGATTTATCTGCTATAACCACAGCTGTATGGGTCCAAAACAGAGTCAACAGAAGGTGAGAGTGGAACAATGCCTCCAAAACGTGGATCAGCCCATGTCCAGAACAGATGAAGGATGTGGGATGAGATACTCACCCTCCAGCAGCACCTTGTTCCAGAAGCTAGATGATGCATTTATACCTTTTCTTAAGGTTAGGCTAAAGGAGGTGATGGGATGCTGGAGAGGATGCAGCCCTGCCCCTTACTCACCTGTACTCTCTCCAAGATTTAGGATAAGATGGAATGAAAGGGTGTCTGTCTCTGAGACTCCTGGACAACACTGGCCAGAGGACTTCCCCTGATTTAAATATTTGCAGGGGGAAACATGATCTTAACAACAACCAAAAAGCCCAGCAACCCAGATCCTCATTTCATAATCACTCCTAGCAGATAATCCCCCTCACTTCTTGCAGAACAAACCATCCTTAACCCACTTCACCCCACAGAGGCACCGTTTTCTCTGCGCTGAATGGGAAGGAGCAGATATAACTAGCTTAAAGGTGACACCCATCCTCTAGGCAGTCAGTGAGGTGAGAAGGATTCCTGTTTTTTGGCATATATCTCCTCTTAAAGAGGTTTGCTTTCACTTAAATTTTTTCATGTGGCTACTTTAAGGCTTAATGAGATTTAGCAGAAGCTCTAACATCCTTCCACTCACGTCACAAGTTCCTTACACAAAGCTTTCCCTGGGAATCTGCCTGCATGAGGCTGCAGATTTCAGCACAGGGTCTCTCCCCAAAACAAGTCACATCTATCCACTGATGCTGTGCCCACCTCCTCTATAACTCTACTGTTGATCTGAAAGAGATTTGCAGTGTAAGCCTTCATTTTGCAAAGTCCTGCAAAAAAATTCTTGCAAGTGCACTCTACACAGCCTGCAGTAAGTTGGCTGAAGTTGCCCACATATTTAAAGAAAGGCATAACTTCAGGGGTTTTGGGGAGTCATTCTTTTAAGCAGAGTGATAGAAATTAGGCGCTAAAAGGGGTTTTAGATGTGTATTGGCTGAAGAGTTATCCTGGTGGAGTTGGCAAATCGTCTTGTCCATCCCAAAGCAAAGTCCGCACTCTACACAGCCTGCAGTAAGTTGGCTGAAGTTGCCCACATATTTAAAGAAAGGCATAACTTCAGGGGTTTTGGGGAGTCATTCTTTTAAGCAGAGTGATAGAAATTAGGCGCTAAAAGGGGTTTTAGATGTGTATTGGCTGAAGAGTTATCCTGGTGGAGTTGGCAAATCGTCTTGTCCATCCCAAAGCAAAGTCCTACTTTTATCATATCCTCACTCTTTCTGTACCATATCTGGGGACCATTTATGACCAGTACTTGTTTTTTTTTGCAGGGGCACACAAAGATGCTTTCCCCTGTCACTTAGTTTAGACTTAAGTGGTATTTGCAGGGAATTGAAGGACAAGCAGTAGGTTAGATATTGTCCTCCCTGCCCAGAGGAGCCATTCCCTATCAAGCTGAGTGAGTTTGGGATGAGTCAACCTCAAGTTAAACTCTCCTCCACTTAAGTTAGAGGATTCCTGTGTGAGTGATAATGAGTTAAGTCTAATGTGGAGATAAATTTCTCAGTTAATTTCCCCCCCTTGACAGGCAGATAGTTAACCAATAAAATATGCTGTGAATAATGGTTGTTCTGTGAGCTGCCTATGGTCTGAAATGTCCTGCTATGTTCATAGGATATATTTACAAGACAGGGAATATCTCAAGGCACCACAACTTGTTGAGGAATGGTTTGAGATCTGAAACCAAGGTCATCTCTAAAGGATTACACAGCAATGGATTACTTCTTACTCAGACCCCAAGGATCAAAGTAAACTTTTTATCTGGGACAACTGAGTTAGAAAGGGAGTTTTCAGCTTTTAC